TATATATATATATATATATATATATATATATATATATACAGTTGTTGCTCAAAAGTTTGCATACCCTGGCAGGAATTGTGAAATTTTGGCATTGATTTTGAATATATGAGTGATAGTGCTAGAGAACGGTCTTTTATTTAAGGATAGTGATCATATGAAGCCATTTATTATCACATAGATGTTTGGCTTCTTTTTAAATAATAATGATAACAGAAAACACCCAAATGGCCCTGATCAAAAGTTTACATACCCTTGAATGTTTTGCCTTGCTATAGACACACAGGGTGACACACACACACATTTAAATGGCAATTAAAAGTTAATTTCCCACACCTGTGGCTTTTTAAATTGCTACTAGTGTCTGTGTATAAATGGTCATTGAGTGTGTTCGCTGTCAAGCCGATGCACAGAACAGTCTAGAAACTGAGCCATGGGGAGCAGAAAAGAACTATCAAAAGACCTGCGTAACAAGGTAGTGGAACTTTATAAAGAAGGAAAAGGATACAAAAAGTATCCAGAGCCTTAACTTTATAAAGAAGGAAAAGGATACAAAAAGGTATCCAGAGCCTTAAAAATGCCTGTCAGTACTGTTCAGTCACTTATTAAGAAGTGGAAAATTCGTGGATCTATTGATAACAAGCCAAGGTCAGGTAGACCAAGAAAGATTTCAGCCACAGCTGCCAGAAGAATTGTTCAGGATACAAAGAAAAACCCACATGTAACCTCAACAGAAATACAGGCTACTCTGGAAAAAGATGGCGTGGTTGTTTGTTTCAAGGAGTACAATACGACGGTATTTGAACAAAAATGAGCTGCATGTTGGAGTTGCCAGAAAGAAGCCTTTACTATGTCAATGCCACAAAAAGCTGGTTACAATATGCACAACAACACCTTGACACGCCTCACAGCTTCTGGCACACTGTGATTTGGAGTGACGAGACCAAAATAGAGCTTTATGGTCACAACTATAAGCGCTATGTTTGGAGAGGAGTCAACAAGGCCTATAGTGAAAAGAATACCATCCCCACTGTGAAGTATGGTGCTGGCTCACTGATGTTTTGGGGATGTGTGAGCTCTAAAGGTACTGGGAATCTTATAAAAATTGATGGTAAGATGAATGCAGCATATTATCAGAAAATAATGGCAGACAATTTGCATTCTTCTGCACGAAAGCTGGGCATGGGATGCTCTTGGACTTTCTTGACCCTAAGCACAAGACCAAGTTGACCCTCCAGTGGTTACAACAGAGAAAGCTGAAGGTTCTGGCGTGGCTATCACAGTCTCCTGACCTTAATATCACTGAGGCACTCTGGGGAGAACTCAAAAGTACTGTTCATGCGAGACGGCCAAAGACTTTGCATGACCTGGAGACATTTTGCCAAGAAGAATGGGTAGCTATGCCACCTGCAAGAATTCACGGCCTCATAGACAACTATTATAAAATGCAGACTTTTGAACAGGGGTCATTTCATTTTTATTTTGTTGCCATGTTTTTTTTTCTGATTGTGTGATTCTGTTATAACTTGTAGTTAAATATGAATCCCATAAGAAATAAAAGAAATGTTTTGTCTGATCACTCATGCTTTCTTAAAAAAAAAAAAAAAAAGGAAAATATATTACCAATTGTCCAAACTTTTGAGCACAACTGTATGTGTATATATATATATATGTACACACGCACGCACACACACATATATAAATGTATATATATATACACACGCTGTCAGACTCTGGGCCAGGTTTTGTGTGTGTCTTTGCTCCCTATGTGCTCCGTCATCCAGTTTCTCTGTCTTGTGTTTTGAATTCATTGTTCCCAGGTGTTTCCTATGTTGATTGTCTTATGAGTTCCAGGTGTCCCTTGTCTTCCCCTCATCAGTTCCTGTGTATTTAAAGTGTGTTCTAGTTCTTGTCCTTTGTCAGTCATTAAATGTCATCCTGATGTGTTGAGTCCTGTGATCCCCAGCCTTTGTTTAATAAACCCTTTTGAGTTACTTTACTCCGTGTCTCCTCGCTCCTTCATTCCCGTGTTCCTCGTGTGTGTAAACCGTGACAGAACGACTGACCAGAACAGTAAGCGGTGCACCTTCCTCCGTGTTTTGTTTTTGTTTTTTGAACAGTCTTTTGGTTTTCCTTTTCTCCCCTGTTTGTCTCCGCGGTACGAAGACTGCTGTTCTGTGAAGCGTGCCGGCTGCGCCATTGTCAAGCGCTTGCCAGGGCTTTCTCCAGCCCGCTGACCGGGCCGATGTCAAGCCCGTGAGCCGGGGCTATCTCCAGCCCACTTGCCACGTATATGGCAAGCCCACCGGACATTCATGTGGCAAGCCCGGCAGACGTTCAACACTCCAGTTCGCCGACCATGCCTTTTCCCCCCGATCCAGAAGATGATGCTAGGGGCGAGGAGAAGGGTGTCGGCTCCAGCCCCAGAGCTCGCTCCAGTGTCGGCTCCAGCCCCAGAGCTCGCTCCAGTGTTGGCCGAGAACACGCCTTTTCCCCCCGATCCAGAAGAGGATGCTAGGGGTGAGGAGAAGGGTGTCGGCTTCAGCCCCAGAGCTCACTCCAGTGTTGGCCCAGGCCCCAGAGTTCGTTCCAATGTGGACCCAGACCACGCCTGTTCCCCCCCAATCCAGAAGAGGATGCTAGGGGTGAGGAGAAGGGTGTCGGCTGTTGCCCCAGAGTTCGTTCCAGTGTCAGCCCAGGTCCTGAGTATAGCCCACGGAGGGCTCCCGATCCCCAGTTCCACCCAGGAAGGGCTCCCGATCCCCAGTTTAGCCCAGGAAGGGCTCCTGACTCCCAGTTCCACCCAGGAAGGGCTCCCGACCCCCAGTTCCACCCAGGAAGGGCTCCAGATCCCCCGCAGAGCCTAGGAAGGGCTCCCGATCCCCAGTTCAGCCCAGGAAGGGCTCCAGATCCCCCGCCGAGCCTAGGAAGGGCTCCCGATCCCCAGTTCAGCCCAGGAAGGGCTCCAGATCCCCCGCCGAGCCTAGGAAGGGCTCCCGATCCCCAGTTCAGCCCAGGAGGGGCTTCAGATCCCCCGCTGAGCCTAGGAAGGGCTCCCGATCCCCAGTTCCGCCCAGGCAGGGCTCCTGATCCCCAGTTAAGCCCAGGGAGGGCTACAGGTCCGCAAGTAAGCCCAGGGAAGGCTCCAGTCCCCTGTCATGGCCCATGGAGGGCCTCAGAACCTGTAAACGTCCCCAAGTATTTTTTTGGGGGGGTAGTAGGGCTCCAGCCGTAGAGGCAGGGGCTGAGGCCGCGGCCTCGATGGCTGCTCCACCATGACCTCCTGAACTGCCTGCACCACCGTGTCCTCCTGAAGTCCCCACTCCACCATGGCCTCCTGTGTTCCCTACCTCGCCATGGCCTTCTGTGTTCCCTACCCCGCCATGTCCTCCTGTGGTCCCTCTTCCACCTTGGCACTCAGAGCTGACAGATCCACCATGGTGCCCCGCTCTGGAGGCCTCCCGTCTGGTAACCTTACTCCTAGAGGTCTCCAGAGCGCCCCCCCCCCTCCCCATTGGATGTTTTGGTGGCGTGAGGACACGCCTTCTGGGTCTGTGTTCCCTACCCCGCCATGTCCTCCTGTGGTCCCTCTTCCACCTTGGCGCTCAGAGCTGACAGATCCACCATGGTGCCCCGCTCTGGAGGCCTCCCGTCTGGTAACCTTACTCCTAGAGGTCTCCAGAGCGCCCCGCCCCCCTCCCCATTGGATGTTTTGGTGGCGTGAGGACACGCCTTCTGGGAGGGGGGAGTAATGTCAGACTCTGGGCCAGGTTTTGTGTGTCTTTGCTCCCTATGTGCTCCGTCATCCAGTTTCTCTGTCTGTTGTTTTGAATTCATTTTTCCCAGGTGTTTCCTATGTTGATTGTCTTATGAGTTCCAGGTGTCCCTTGTCTTCCCCTCATCAGTTCCTGTGTATTTAAAGTGTGTTCTAGTTCTTGTCCTTTGTCAGTCGTTAAACGTCATCCTGATGTGTCTAGTTCTGTGATCCCCAGCCTTTGTTTAATAAACCCTTTTGAGTTACTTTACTCCATGTCTCCTCGCTCCTTCGTTCCTCGTGTGTGCGAACCGTGACACACACACACACACAGTACTGTGCAAAAGTTTTAGGCCATTAGTATTTTCAGCAGCTAAAAAAATGGTTTTAAGATTTTCCAAGATGCTTCAAGAAACCTACCTGCAAAGCTACATGCAAAACTATGTGCAAGTGCACTGAGGGCAAAAGCTGCTTTAAATGCAAAGGATGGTCACACCAAATGTTGATTTAATTTAGTTAAATAGAATAGAAGTTATCTATTAATCTATTTATGACATTTTGTTCTGTTTCTTCATGTCATTCCAGACAGACTGATGATGATCAGATCAGATCTCATCATGAACACAAATCCAACAAGTCTTATACCACAAGCAATAGCAACTGATGCTTCAGAACATCATCCTGTGACATTAAAAACCTTGAAATGGAGACATTCTCGTATCTCTTACTCATGTTACATTAGTGTACAGTTTTGTTTCAAGCAACAGTTTGGTTGCTTGAAAGCAACACACACAGGTTACTCACTAAAAATAATATTTATAAAATATAACTATTTATTTATTTAACATTATTTATTTATAATGCAGCAATAGATTAAGAGCACTAGTTTGAGTCTTGCCTTGGCACAGATTTAGTGATTTCTTTTGCGTTGTCTTGTTATTTGGTGCGAGGTTTAATCAAGCAGTGAGATACTGAAAGCATGTAAGAGCTGGCAACCTATTCTAGCATTTTTAGAACCTTGCAAGTCTGTATAAGCATGTTTTAACTCATTTTTATCTTGACCATCTTGTTTTCATAAACATTGGAAGCCAAACTCATAATTAAAAATATACAAATTTGATTTTGTGTTTGTTTACTTATTGAATGTGACTCTGTGTTTTATAGTATGGATCATGGAGGAGAATCCAGGATTACAGCAGGTCTAAAGAAATGTATGTCTACACACACACACACACAGCTTTAGTGATTGTCCTTGTTATAAATGTCTCTTTTCTTGTGTTTAGATGCCTGTTTTCTCACACTGGATCCAAACACAGCAAACACTGAACTCATTCTGTATGAGAACAGAGAGGTGACATGTGCGAGAGAGGATCAGCCATATCCTGATCATCCAGACAGATTTGATAAGTGTCAGCAGGTGTTGTGTAGAGAGAGTGTGTGTGGACGCTGTTACTGGGAAATTGAATGGAGTGGAGATAGAGGTGTGTGTATATCAGTGTCATATAAGAGCATCAGCAGGAAAGGAGACAGAGATGAGTGTGTGTTTGGAAATAACAATCAGTCGTGGAGTTTGTTCTGCTCTCCCTCCAGTTACTCATTCATACACAATAACATAGTGACTGATCTCACTGTAGAGTCCATCAGCCGTAGAATAGGAGTGTATGTGGATCACAGTGCAGGAACTCTGTCCTTCTACAGCATCTCTGACACAAAGAGCCTCATCCACACAGTCCAGACCACATTCACTCAGATGCTCTATCCTGGGTTTTGGGTTTGGCCTGGATCAGTGAAACTGTTGATGAATCAGAATAGACTGACGAGAGATTGGAATGCTTTCAGCTGCATGATAAATCAGTAAAAGTGAGACGTTATAGAGTCTCTTCTTTTCTCTTCATGACATTAATACTGCAGCTGAATTTCTGTCACTGAAATAACATGTCAGAATAAATGTTTGTAATAAATCCCCATATAGATTTATTTTATCAGGGTGTGTGTGCGTGTGAGTCCTGCTGAGGGACGATGGGTTTCTGTACTCTTCTCAACTTACATTTGTGTTTTTATTGTAATGTCACATCATTTATATTATTACTATGACAATTACCTTTCAGTTGAAAAGTAACTTTAACCATCATGACTCATTAATGACGTGTAACTCATATTTGAAAATTAATGTGATTTTTTCCCTCAGAAAAAAAAGACATATCGACTTGATTTTAATTGATGATAAATATGTGAAATGTCTGAATGCTCTATGAATCATGAATATAATCTATTCCTCTCAAGACTGAAATTAGCTTTATGAGAGTTTCTGACAATAAAATATGACATTAATCATAGCATTTAATGAAATATATTTATTGTAACCACAGTAAATTCATATAAATTATAAATTCATTATAGGATCTCCTTCAAGCTTTTACGGACGGCATGACAACAGAGAAGGGGATCCAAGTGCAAGCTTTATTGAAGAGCATAGTCAAAATAGGCAGGGTCTAACACCAGCAAACAATAATATCCAAAGGCAAGACAAAAGAGTAATCCAAGAAACAGACAATGGTCAGGGCAGGCAGCAATAGCTTATAAGCCAGGGAAACAATCAAAAAACACAAAGACGTTCTTCTTTTTCTTCAATCTAATAACAGACTGGTGCCATGGGCACATACCGCCACCTACTGTAAACTGGTTTTCTTTCCTCTTTTTTGGCTCTCATTCAATATGCTTTCATAGTGACGTTACATAGGAGTGGAGAAATACCGTCAATAACGCAACATTCATTCTAAAATATAGGCTATACATATAAACACACAGAGTTCAAATGTGCTCTTTTCTGATCCCAAAGTCTATAATTATTAATTTAACAATTACATATAAATACCATTTTTAATTTCTTATTGGATATTGATAAATCACCACAATTAAAATAAAAAGAAATGATGGGCTTTGAAAAGACTGTGATTGATCTAATGTTGTGCACACCTGTTGCTTATTTTGCTCAAGATCATTTCCTATTTAAGTCCCCTTGCCCTACAACCATGTGTTAATGAGAGGTGACAAAATGAAATGAAAACCACAATTTTCAAAGAAAGAATTTACAGTTCTTTTGGAGGAGGTGGAAAATAATAAAATCAAACTTTATAAAACAGATAGTTCCGGTGCTTGATTCTGATTGGCTGAGCCGATTTGTGTACGTTTGTCTGTTGCTCGGCAACCACTTTGTTGCAACCACAGCTGTTTCTGAGGAACTATATTGTTTGGTGGAAGAATACTATTTTTATTCATATCATTACCCTTTATTTTGTGAAACCTTACTACGTATATGGAATAACCGTTTTATAAAAGCAATAAGCCCCGTGAAGCCATGGTTTACAAAACAGCATTACAAATTCGAACAAAAAGAAAATCTGGGCAGAAATCACCACGAAAAAAAAAGAGATTCTGGCTATGGGAATAAGCAATGCCCAGAAGAAGTGAGGAATAAGTGGAGGGACTTTGCAAGTGTGACAAAACAGAGGGCTGTGGCATTGTAAAAGGGAAGCAAAAAAGACTGGTGGAGGTATCAATTCAGTTCCTCCTCTGACTGCAAAGGAAGATAAAGTTTTGGCCATTCTGGGGCCTGAGGCATTGGAACGGATCCTTGAAGGCATAGACGCATGTGCATGAACCAGGCCTTTCAACATCTGGACTCCTCTGTCTGGCCCTCCAGCATCAGGCCTCCTCCAGTTTGGCTTGTCAACATCAGGCCTCCTCTAGTCTGGCCCTCCAGCATCAGGACTTCTCCAGTCTAGACCTCCAGCAAAAAAGACTGGAGAAGGTGGAGATATCAATTGTGACTGCAGAGGAAGATAAAGTTTTGACCATCCTGGGGCATTGGAGGGGATCCTTGGAGGCATAGATGCATGTGCACCAACCAGGCCTTTCAACATCTGGACTCCTCTGTCTGGCTCTCCAACATCAGGCCAGCATCAGGCCTCCTCCAGTCTGTCCCTCAAGCATCAGCAATGGGTCCTGGTCCTGGTCCTGGCCTATTGCTCCCTTCCCCTGACTCACCTCAGTCTGAGGCCTCTTCATGTGCTGAGCAACATCCTCCTGACATTCCAGAACACCAGCCATTAATCTCATGCCAAAGGAGAAAATAGCTGAACTCCAGGGAATCAGGAAATAATTGAGAGCCCTGAAGGAGCAGCAAGACCGACATCATCAGGAAGTAATGGCCTACAGGAGGGCTAAATTAGAACTATGGCATTACAGGCTAGCAAGCCCTCTTTAACAGTGTTTTTACCAAACAACAGTAAGTGCAAACTGCATTATTCATTACTTAATATGTAAAATCAAATAATGTGTGACTGACAGCTTTGTTACCTTTACAGATCCACAGATGTAACCCTTTACAGCTTTTTTTGTTATCTTTTTGGAATACATTGTTGGCCACCATGCCTCCCAAAATCCAACCCCTCGTCCTTGTCATGGGAGGTGGAAACAGACTGGGTCTGGCAAATGGGGCTCTGGTGAAGCTGTGTGGGTTTTCTAATTGTATTTATATTATGTCAGGTGCATTTAAATCACTTTGGTTGGAGCAAGATGGCGATTTAATTGAACTTTTCTACATAAAATTCAATGATTTTTAAAAAACTCTACATCCACAATTGTGCATCATTGTGTTTTCACTTTTTTCTTTTTTTATTGAATTTATTAAGGTGATTTAAACTGAATCATACATTCTATGATAATTATACAATAATTTAATATTTTGAATATGTAACATATAGTTTTATTGTACATTGCAAAACATTTTTTTATTCATTTCTCAACTCAACTTTTATTTATAAAGCACTTTCAAAACCATTAAAATGGACCAAAGTGCTGTCCATAAATAATAAATAATACTAACATTCATGCAAACATAAAATAACAAGACATAACATAAAAATAAACATGCAGCCAATCCCTCACGAAATTTACCGTCAATACAGACACTGCAAATCAATAGACTTTGGCTGTGTCCATTGCATCCAACATGTTTTTTCACTGACACACCCCCAACTTGGAAACTCTGGGCTTAAAGAAAATTTCGAGTTTCCCACTCATAATAACGACTTTGTGGTGGTATTCAAGTGTGTTCAACTCGTAAATATGATGTATCCGACATGACTTGAATGCACCATTAGCACCTTTTTTGTCAACGAGTTGAGGAGGAGCTGAACTTGTAGCCATCTTCCACGTTCTTTTGTGTGCTTGTAGGTGTTTTTTCTTCTTCTTTACCCTTTGAGGACCGATTGACACATTTCCAGGCATATGCTCTGCCTGCCCCCATCAATTCTGGAAGAATTGCAGCCTCGCTAGTGGCTACCTTCGGTACCATCATTACTTACGATACTGAAGAATAACAAGTACTGGCAGGATTTAAAAATTCTTATACCAACTTGGTACCGTAGTATCGGTTCTAGTGACATCCATTCTTCCAAGGAACAAGATCCTTGAATTACTTCAAATTGTGAAACCACACCTTTATAGAGCAAGATGAAATTTTATAGGGCACAAGAAGAAACTATGCCTTAAGTCCAGTG